GCACCACAAACAACAGCGGCGGCAGCAGCAGCAGTAGCAGCAGCAACAGAAGGAATAGAAGAAAATTGAAAGAAATTGGAAACATTGAAGAAATTTATTCAAGTTATCCTTTAATTTAACTTTTTTTTGAACAGTGGCATTAAACAGCAAAGAAAAAAAATTTGGAAAATAAAACGACTGTTTTCTAACAGTCAAATCTTTAAATTTTTCTATTATCTTCTTTATTGTGCCTTGCACTGTGTTCGTATCAGTGCCGTTTCATATGGTTGTCACTGGTCCGTATCTGACGTCGTCTATAAAAAGTGTTATCAGGTCTTTAAAAGTTGTATTTTGGATATTCATTTATTAAAAAAATAAATAAATGACTTGTCGTCTGCAAAGCCAAAAAAAAAATCTTTGAATTTCAATAAATAATTTGTAAAGAATGGAATAGATGATGTTTAAAGGAACTATGGTAGCTTAACTGGAGAAGTTCAATAAATGATATTGAACCCAACCGAAACAATTGTAAAAAATAGAATCAACTATGTTCAGTAGCCAAAAACTTTTCTTTTTGCCTGGCGATCAATTGTTATAAGAGGTCAAGTTTGATTGAATTAACAACAGAACTTTTTTTTCTGCTCTTCATCGAACAATTCAAATAATCCTTTAAGAATTTTTTATTTTTTTCTGTTCTTCATTTTCTCGATGACAAACAGCGAAGTAGAAGTGTTGAATCGGTTGTGGTATAGACAGTTTACAGAATTTCTTACTCTAAGTTTTTTTTTTCTTCAATTTTACTTTACGTATTTGGTAATTGTAAATTTGCAAAATAAAAAAAGTACTCATTTAACTTCACTTTTTTTTTTTTTGTTTGAACAATGGCAGTAAAAAATTTTACAACTTTTAACTTTTCGTCTAATTTCTATCAAAAAAAAAAGAACTTTTTTATTTGTCATTATTTCACATCCACTTTTTGTGTTATTTTGTAGGTTTGTTAGTTAAAAATAAACGTTCTGGTGTCAAGTATACAAGTTTTTTTCGGTTACTGCTGCATCTGTTCCTTCCGCACCTTCTCCCCGAATGTCGACGGTGGTGGTACTGTTGGAGAATACACGGCCGAAGAATTAAAGAGTAACACTTGAAAAGGTTAAAAAGCTGCAAAAAAAAAAAAAAAAAAAAAAAAAAAAAA